GGGCAATGACTTGGGGTCTCGTTGGGGTGGGGAGGACAGGACCGGCTCCACCCCCATTCCGTGAGGCCAAAAATGTCTCGTCACTGCAGGCCTAAGCCTGACTGTCCAATGGCCTCTGGAGGATGACGGCCACCGAGCTGCCAAGGGGAAGCAGGTGAAGAGACGACACCCTTTCCCCTCTGGGGTGGCCTGGCGACAGTAACCTATTGCGGGGTCCAGACGCATTTCTGCCAAAGTCCGCTGGATTTTGAGACTTGTTTCTGAGTCTCTGGGATCATGGCCGTTAAACAGCTTGATCAGGAGCCAGAAAGGCCATTCGTGGGCAATGACTTGGGGTCTCGTTGGGGTGGGGAGGACAGGACCGGCTCCACTCCCATCCCGTGAGGCCCAAAATGTCTCGTCACTGCAGGCCCAAGCCTGACTGTCCAGTGGCTTCTGGAGAATGACGGCCACCAAGCTGCCACGGGGGAGCAGGCAGAGTGACAGCATCCTTTCCTCCCTGGGGTGGCCAGGCAACAGTAACATACTGTGGGGTCCGGACGCATTTCTGCCAAAAGCCACTGGGTTTCGAGATTTGTTTCTGAGTCTCTGGGATCATGGCCGTTAAGCAGCTTGATCAGGAGCCAGAGAGGCCGTTTGTGGGCGATGACTTGGAGTCTCATTGGGGTGGGGAGGACAGGACCAGCTCCACCCCCATCCTGTGAGGCCCTGCATCTTGTCACTGAAAGCCCAAACCTGTCCAGTAGCCTCTGGAGGATGGTGGCCACAGGGCCACCAGGGGGAACAGGCCAAGGCACAAAACCTATTCACACCTGGGTTGGCCCAGCACCGGTAACCTACTGCAGAGACCGGACGCATTTCTGCCAAAAGCTGCTGGGTTTCGAGATTTGTTTCCGAGTCTCTGGGATCATGGCCATTAAGCAGTTCAATCAGGAACCAGAGAGGCCATGCCTCCAATTATATAGCTGAGCCAGAGGTGGTTTGTGGGTGTGTTTCCCACATACCTAACTTTTGGCCGTTTACTTTCTTGGTAAACTTTGCCCCAAGTTTTTGGGATCTGGCCAAAAGCATAGCAGCAATTTGGGGGTATCTGGAAGTCTGAAGGAGCCATCAGGCTGCTGATGCACTCACCTCACAGGTACAGGTTGACCTGCTGGTGGCACCATACCCCCCTGAATTGCACTTTAGATGGTACTGATAAATGAGTGGCTAAAGTTGATTAGACAAGAAGCTGTTAACATAGGTGAAGAGACTCAGAAATCTCATTTAGAAACTAAACTAATAGTGAAACAGATTAAAATCTCTGGGAAACATGGGTAGATCAGATGGCAAATGACTATGGCTGGCATAGTCTATCAGTATTACATGTGGGTGATATAAGGGAAGAGTTAGTGGGAAAAGCATGCACTCAATGATAGCCTGCAGACCAGAGCCAATGTTAGAGCAGTATTCTCAAACTTCAGTGTGTTTCAGAATAACATGGAGGGTTTGCTCAACAAGACTGCTGTACTCTAAACCCAAAAATTCTTACTCAGTAAGACTGACTGTAGTCAGAGTTTGAATTTCTAGTATGTTTTGAGGTAATGCTGCTGTAAGCTGGTCCAAATACCATATGCCCATAAAAACTCAAGAACAAAAAGGAAGCAACAAGCAAACTTTCAGTAGGAGAGTTATTCAGGGCTGGAAAGATAATATAGGAGTAGGTGAGTTACTTGCCTTGCACACAGCCAACTCCAGTTTGATCCCCAACAATGCATATGCTCCCCGAGCTTGGCCAGGAGTAATTACTGAATACAGAGTAAGGAGTAAATTCTGAGCACCAGGCTCTGCATCCTCACCCCCTGGGCTAAATATAGAAAATGTAGTTGACTAATGTAAGTATGTGACCCAAACTATAATGAACAAATCTGAAAGAGAGAAATAATGTTATAACTTATTATGCCCAGAAAGCACAATGAAAGTTTTAAGAGTTGCAGAGAAGTGAAAGACAGGAGCAGAGAAGGAGCTTTTAATGAAACTGTAATCTAGCAGAAGGAAAAAAAGTTGCATACAATATTTCATGTATAGAGTTTATAGAAGTAAATCCCATGAGAAAAATAAAATCAATTTTGTACTTAAAAATAAGGTATGATAAAATGACCATATAATAAATAAACCAGTATTGCTTCTGGATTCTTTACTTTCTCAAACATGTTTGTTGAGTATTTACATGGTATAGTCTGATACTCACAGACTAAAGAGTACTTAAAGCTGAGACAGTTAAACTAAATACTGTTAAACATAACACAACTGTAGAAGTGGTGTTGTTTTATTTTGCAGTGGAGAATGAGGGCACACCCAACATTGCTCTGTGCTTAGGAGTTGCTCCTGGCAGTACTGGGGGGGAGGAATGGGGGCATAAATGTGATACTAGGGATTAAACGTGGTAGTTCTTCATGCAAAGCACACACTCTAGCCCTGTGAGCCACCTCCCAGCCCAAAACCTTTTAATGTAAAAGGATGCTAAAAATGAAAATTCGGAGTTGTGTCTCCCAAGTGGTCTGAGGACACTCCCAGCAGTATTTGGCTCAGCTGTGCAGGCTGTGGGCCAGACTATTCAGTGATTAGGGACCTCAGAGATTACACCCAGCAGGTCTCAGAGGGCCATTCAGGTCAGGGATCTAACTTGGAGTCTAGTGGATATAAGGTATGTGACTCATGACCTCTGAATTATCTCCCCAGCCCTGCTATTTGTCTTTTCAGATGTAGACAAAGATAAATAATATATCAGTTTTGCTATTTGGGCTTCAGTGACAGCACAGCAGGTAGGGTGTTTGCCAGGCTTGATTCCTCCGTCCCTCTTAGAGAGCCCGGCAAGCTACCGAGAGTATCCCCGCCTGCATGGCAAAGCCTAGCAAGCTACCTGTGACGTATTCGATATACCAAAAACAAGTAACAAGTCTCACAACGGACTCAAGCAAGTCCATGACAACGGGAGGGCAGTGCTACAGTGCTATTTAATGGTAAATGCTCAAAGATTTAATGTGCATTTGTCATACATATGTTCTAATGTAAATTTAGATATGAGTGATCTATATGAGATAGTCCGTGAAGGTCAATACCTGGCAACACTCCAGGACCACTCCTGGCTCAGTGCTCAGGGGCTATTTCTGGTAGTGCTCGGGGAACCAAATCATGCTGGAGACTAAACTCAGGCTCTACATGAGATCTTTTAGGAAAATAAAATGATAACACTAGTGACTAATTTCTTGGTCAAAAAAATAAAAGGTCTAGTTGATGGGCTTAGCATAGCACACACCCTGCCTGTGTGAGTTCCGAGCTTTGATTTCCAGCACTGACAAAGGACTGGGGGGAAAAGGTGTGGTCGAGTAAGTATAATAATTTTTTTTTAATTCTGGCTATGTTTGATGAAGGCATAATTGCCAATTTAGCCAATAATCATATTTTTAAGTGATTTGACAGTTTAAATGAATTTCAAAATTATCAAATTAATTACAAAATGTCAGGATAACTCTTATTTTCTTTCTCTGTAAATTACATACCTTAACCTTTTTACTTAGTATAAGATTAGTGCCTCACATATATTTCAAAGTCCAAAATTTTAAAATGAAGCTGACACATAATTGCAACTTGAGAATGATGAAACAAATATTTTACAGATTTAAATGTTAAAACTGTAAAGTTTTAGACATTAATTTCTCACACAAGCATATTAAAAATTACCATAAAAGTTCCCATAGGAACGTACACACATTATTAATATTTGTTTTTACTTAGTCTCAAATTGAACATTTTTCAGAACTACAAATATAGTTATATATATACAATATAGTTATATATATACATATATACAAATATGGCGCCGTATAATCCCATCAACGGCCAAGACCCAGAGACTATAAAACCCAGCTCCCGGAATAGAACAACGCAGAGTCTCCTGCCCCAGCGCCTGGCTGTCCTCGCCGGGGCCCCTTGGTGGGAGCGGGTTGAGTTTCCCTCCCCGCTCCAGCCAGGGCTCCGGCAGCTGAAGACCTCCAGAACCAGCCACCACCATACTGAGACCACTCTCCACACGCGTGAAGGTACCAGCAGAGAAACAAAGGCATGTGGGTTCCAGGGCTGAGATCTCCAAGCCTGCTCGGATCGGGGCTGAGCATCCTCCACCCAGATCCTCCAAATTCCAGTAGGCAGGGGTCACACCCACCAACTGGACCCCTGGCACCGTGTAATCCCATCAACAGCCAAGACCCAGAGACTATAAAACCCAGCTCCCGGGCATCTTATTATCTCATTCCTACTTTGGACAAACTGGCAGGCTACTGAATGTAACCTGCCCACACGGCAGAGTCTAGCAAACTCCCCGTGGCATACCCAATATGCCAAATACCAGTAACAAAGATGGGTCTCATTCTCCTAACTCTGAAAGAGCCTTGAATATGGCACTTTTTAAAAAATCTCAGGGCTAGGACAAAGGAGACGTTACTGGGGCCTGCTCGAGGCAATTGACAAATATAGTATGTTTAAGCTAAGTTTCAAACACAGAAATAATCTAGAGTCAAATAAAAATTGACACTCAAAGAAACCAAGTTATTAGCTATGAATATTTTGGAGGCAGACAAATATTTAAGAAGTTAAAAACTCAATAGGAACCATGTTTTTGATACACTTTTACATATCTGTCATTTTCAAACAAAGGACTAGCTTTTATGGATTTTTATTTCTTAGATAGGGCCTATAATACATAGCAGACAATTATTGCAGTATGAATAAAATCTGGGAATTTATTAAAATTTAAGGTATCCAAAATTATAAAATTCCCTATAAATTATGCCATTAAAAAATGAACATATTGCTATTAAAAATGCAAGTGAAACTGTTTAATCATTTTGGAGCAGTCAAAATACAATATAAGATTGTTATCTTGGTATCTGAAAGCAATCATTTTGCCATCTTAATCTTTTGTAGCATTAATTTTAGGATGATGGTTAATTTTAAAAGTTTTAATCAAAGTTGTTTTCAAACATTGTCATAATGTCACTTTGAAGAGTCATATCAATGGTACCCGCCATCTGTAGAAAAAGAAGTAAGATATAAATGTTACTTTGAAAATGTATGCCTTCATTACATCTATATAAAATGATTATGCACCACTTGGATCATGCAAAGTAAATATCAGTTATACAAACTCAATGTTAATTAAGTAATGTTTAATTTCTGTTAATTATGTAATTTTAAATTTATGTTCAAATACAGTTTATTAAAATATTGCTTAAGGCAATAAGCAAAAATCAAAACCTGTAAGAATACTTACGAATGTGTTTAACCTTTCTCCCCAAGAAAGAAAACTCTTGACATGGATTAAGTGGGTACTGATGAGAACATGGATGGAGAGCACACTTTCATTATTTCTTCATCCAGTATAATACTAGACTTATGAGTCTCAGGCTGTGAGAGAACTATAGCACATTAAAGCTATGGACTTGCTAGTAATTAAAACAGCATGGTATTGGACTAGAAACAGACCCACAGACCAATGGAACAGAGTTGAATATTCTGTCACAGACTCTCAAAAATATATGATCACTTAATCTTTGATATTGTACTGTACTGTACTGTACTGTCTTCCCATTGTTCATCGATTTGCTCGAGCGGGCACCAGTAATGTCTCACAACAAATTGTGAAACTTGTTACTGTTTTTGGCATATCAAATATGTCACGGGTAGCTTGCCAGGCTTTGCTGTGTGGGCGAGATACTCTCGGTAGCTTGTCGGGCTTTCCGAGAGGGGCAGAGAAATTGAACCCGGGTCAGCAACATGCAAGACAAATGCCCTACCTGCTGTGCTATAGCTCCTGCCCAATCTTTAATAAAGGAGCAAGAAATGTGAAGTGGAACAAGGAAAACCTCTACAAGTGGTGATGGGAAAACTGGAAGGCTACCTGCAAAAAAATGAACTCTGACCTCTGTCTAACACCAGGAACAAAAGTCAAAGTGGATTATAGACCTCAATATCAGACCAGAATACATAAAGTACATGGAGGAAAATGTAGGCAGAAATCTCCTGACACTGAAGCTAAAAGCATCTTTAACGATGAAACATCACTGACCAAGCAAGTGGAAACAAACATAAACAAATGGGACTACATTAAACTAAGATGCTTCTGCACCTCAAAAGAAACAGTGACCAAAATACAGAGAGAGTACATGGAATTGGAAAGAATCTTTACCCAATACCCATCAGATATGGGATTAATATCCAGGATATACAAGACACTAGTAGAATTGTACATAAGCCTCCAACCCCATAAAAGAATGGAGAGAAGAAATGAACAGAAGCTCCCTCATAAAAAAAAAATATAAATGGCCAAAAGGCACGTGAAAAATGCTCCACATTGCTAATCATCAGGGAGATGCAAATCAAAACAACAATGAGATATCTCACACCACAGAAACTGGCATACATAAAAAAGAACAAGAACAACCAGTGCTGGTGTGGATATGGGGTGAAAGGGACTATCTTTCATTATTGGTGGGAATGTCGACAGGTTCAACCTTTTGGGAAAACAATATGGGCATTTCTTCAAAAACTAGAAATTGAGCTTTTGTATGACCGTGCAATACCACTTCTGGGAATATATTCCAAGGGTGCAAAAAAGCACAGTAGAAATGACATCCGCACCTGTATGTTCATTGCAGCACTGTTCACAATAGCCAGAATCTGGAAACAACCCAAGTGCCCAAAAACAGATGACTGGTTAAAGAAACTTTGGTACATCTACACAAGAATAGTATGCAACTGTTAGGAAGGATGAAGTCATGAAATTTGCTTCAAAGTGGATGGTCATGGAGAGTATCATGCTAAAGTGAAATGAGTCAGAAAGGGAGGGACAGACACAGAATGACTACACTCATTTGTGGAATATAAAATAACATAATAAGAGACTGACACCCAAGGACAGTAGACACAAGGGCCAAGAATATTGCTCCATAGGTGGAAGTTTGGCTCATGAGCTGGAGGGAGAAGGCAGCTGAAATAGAGAAGAGACCACCAAGTCAATGATGGTTGGAGGATCGCTCGGGATGGGAGATGTGTGCTGGAAGTAGATAAAGGACCAAACATGATAGTCTCTCAGTATCTATATAGTAAACCATAATGCCCCAAAGTAGAGATAGTATGGGGGAAATTGTTCCATCCATAGAAGCGGGGGGTGGGGGGGTGGAGGGGGATAATGCGACATTGGTGGTGGAAAATACGCACTTATGGAGGGAGGGGTGTTTGATCATTATATGAGTGAAATGCAAACATAAAAACTTGTAACTGTGTATCATGGTGATTCAATTAAATAAAAAATACCAAAAAAAAGCTATGAACTTTCATGGGGTTCAAGAGATAGAATAGTGGGTAGGGTTCTTTCCTTGCACATGATTGACCTGGGTTTTCATTGTTGGCAACCTGTATGGTCTCCTGAGCCCTACCAGGAGTAATTCCTGAGTGCAGAGCCAGGAATAATCCCTGGGGCATTGCTGGGTATGTCCCATAAACCAAAAAAAAATTTTTTAAGTACTATGTACTTTCCTTGATTCTGTCATGAAGAAAAATTATTTAACCAAGTTTGTTATGACAATTATGAAGATCAAACTACACTCTCTCTATATATACACACACATATATATATAGTACCCATTAAACAATGCTGTTTAATGCTGAAAGGTCATTAAAAATAAAAGAAATCATCTTTTTTTCATGTTTTATAATTTTATTTATTATATCACCATGAGAGAAGTTACAAAGTTTTCGGGTCTAAGTCTCAGCCATACAATGAAACACCCATACCTTCAACAGTGCCCATTCTCCACCACCAAAAACCCCAGTATCCCCCCATCCCACACCCTCCCTCTACCTGTGGGGCAGATGATTTCCACATTACTCTCTCTCTACTTTGAACACATTCAATATTTTGACACCACACCCACCATTATTATTTGAGATTTTACCCCAACACTAGGATCTGCTGAAAAAGCAACAGTAGACAATTTGTGTTCTATTGCTGGTTATGAATAACCTATGAGGTTGCGTGGCTGCAGCAGGGCCATGTGATTTTGAAATTCTGAAATTGTAACACTTAAATCTGGAGGATTTCTGCCAAAAGCCACTGGGTTTCGAGATTTGCTCCTGAGTCTCTGGGATCAAGGCCGTTGAGCAGCTTGATCAGGAGCCAGAGAGGCCGTTCGTGGGCGGTGACTTGGGGTCTCATTGGGGTGGGGAAAACAGGCCCGGCTCCACACCCATCCCATGAGGCCCAACAAGTTTCGTCACTGCAGGCCCAAGCCTGACTGTCCAATGGCTTCTGGAGGATGACGGCCACCGAGCCACCAGGGGGAAGCAGGCAGAGGGACAACACCCTTTTCCCCTGGGGTGGCCCGGCAACAGTAACGTACTGTGGGGTCCAGACGCATTTCTGCGAAAAGCCACTGGGTTTCAAGATTTGTTTCTGAGTCTCGGGGATCATGGCCACTAAGCAGCTTGATCAGGTGCCAGAGAGGCCATTTGTGGGCGATGACTTGGGGTCTCGTTGGGATGGGGAGGACAGGCCCGGCTCCCCCCCCCCCCCCCATCCCGTAAGGCCCCAAATGTCTCATCACTGCGGGCCCAGACCTGACCGTACAATGGCCTCTGGAGGATGACAGCCACTGAGCCACCAAGGGGGAGCAGGTGGGGGAACAACACCCTTTCCCCCCTGCGGTGGCCTGGCGACAGTAATGTACTGTGGTGTCTGGATGCATTTCTGCGAAAAGCCGCTGGGTTTTGAGATTTGTTTCTGAGTCTCTGGTATCAAGGCCGTTAAGCAGCTTGATCAGGAGCCAGAGAGGCCATTCGTGGGTGATGACTTGCGGTCTCGTTGGAATGGGGAGAACAGCCTGGCTCACCCCTCATCCCGTCACTGCGGGCCCAAGTCTGACTATCCAATGGCCTCTGGAGGATGACGGCCACCGAACCGCCAAGGGGGAGCAGGGGGAGGGACAACACCCTTTCCCCCTGGGGTGGCCCGGCAACAGTAATATACTGTGGGGTCCGGACGCATTTCTACCAAAAGCCACTGGGTTTCGAGATTTGTTTCTGAGTCTCTGGGATCATGGCCATTAAACAGCTTGATCAGGAGCCAGAGAGGCCGTTTGTGAGCGATGACTCGGGGTCTCATTGGGGTGTGGAGGACAGGACTGGCTCCACCCCCATCCCGTGAGGCCCTGTGTGTCTCATCACTGGGAGCCCAAACCTGACTGTCCAGTGGCCTCAGAAGGATGGCAGCCACTGGGCCACCAGGGGAACAGACCAAGGCACAAAACCTATTCACACCTGGGTTGGCCCAGCACCAGTGACCTACTGCAGAGACCACACACATTTCTGCCAAAAGCCATTGGGTTTCAAGATTTGTTTCTGAGTCTCTGGGATCATGACCATCAAGCAGTTCAATCAGGAACCAGAGAGGCCATGCCTCCAAGTATATAGCTGAGCCGGAGGTGGTTTGTGGTGTGTGTTTCCTACATACTTAACTTCTGGCCGTTTACTTTCTTGGTAAACTTTGTCCCAAGTTTTTGGGGTCTGGCCAGAGGCACAGCAGCAATTTTGGGGTATCGAGAAGTCTAAAGGCGCCATCAGGCTACTGGTACACTCGCCTCACAGGTACAGATAGACCTGCTGGCAGCACCATACCCCCGACATTCATTTATTTTAGATTCTCTTCCTTTCCAACTAAAATCTGAGCCTATGTAATGACTACTGATACAGAGCTAGTAATTCTCTCTGAAGTTGACACCATTACTTGGACCTTACTTTCTCAGGGTCCTGATACATACCCAACCATTCAAATCCATATAAAACCCAATCATAAAAATCTTTGGGAATTGGCATAAAGATTTTGGCATAGTGGATCTTGACAGCACTACTAAATGTTACAATAGCTTTTTAAGTGTATGGATCTGTTAAATGCCAGACTGCTATATTAAAGGTATATTCAGATACATAAAAAACTGAAAGAATTAATCACATTAGAAGAAATGTTAAAAGAAGTCCTTCAGGAAAGAAAGATGGCGGCCGCACGGGAGCCTTGTGGAAAGCGGGTTTGAGCCGGGCTCGGGGAAGCGGCGGGGACCTCATGGGAAGGGGGGCTTTGTGGGCCGTCCCCCACGCCCCACCGAGGTCGCCAGCTGCCCCCCACGAGCGGCTCTCCGGCACGGCCACGACTCCAGGGCACAGAAATCAATCTCTTAACTAGCTAACTTTTAATAGAAATTCTTCCAGGGTCAATAAGTAAAATAGCAGAAATTCAAAACCGCGCGGCCACGACATCATTTTATTCTTAAACCAAGTTGTAGAAAGCAAATCATTTCACAACGCTGTTTCAGCATGTCTGATTGGGGGGGGGGGGTGGGTCGTAAACTCTAAACAATAATTGTGCATCTTCTATCGAAATAATCTATCTAGTCAAAGTAGATAGAGTATTAACTAGAACTCATCTGCCTCATAAGAATTGGGAGGGGTGGGAGGTGGGGGTCTATTGGGGTTCGGGGTTAAAAATGAGTATTGGTAAAGGGAAATGTGTTCGGTATCTACATGACTGAGACCTAAACCCGAAAGCTCTGTAACTTTTCCCACAGTGATTCAATAAATAAATAAATTATATTAAAAAAAAAATAAAATAAAAGAAGTCCTTCAGGAAAAAGAAAAGTAATACCATTTAAAAACCTAGATCTCAACAAATAAATGAAATGAAAATGTAAATATTAAGTAAGCATAAGATTTTTTTCCCTATGACGCAGTTTTCCTGTTCCCTGCCCCTCCCCCACACCTCCCAGATTGTGGGGCCATTTTAGTCTCAACGTTGCCCAGGATGCTTGAACCATATTCCGGATCCCTATTACTTAACACTTTAAAAAAGAGATTATTTGACTATTTAAATAATGGCATAAAAACTATGCAGGAGGATTAGAGACAGAGTCCAAGTACCACTGGAAATAGCGCCCCACGTACCACTGGGTGTGCTCACCCAAAAATTTTTTTCTGGAATTGAAGAGATAGTATAGGGGTTACCATGCTTGTCTTGCATGCATTCCATCCTGGTTTGAGTTCTTGTACTGCATACTCACTCCTCAGCACTCCTGAGCCCTCACACAAGTGATCCCAAAGTCAGGAGTAAACCCTGAGCACATCTGGGTGTGGTCCAAAAACAAACAAAAAATAGAAGGGGGAAATTGGGGGCTGGAGTGATAGCACAGCAGGTAGGGCATTTGCTTTCCATGCGACCAACCCGGGTTCGATTCCCAGCATCACATATGGTCCCCCTGAGCACCACCAGGAGTAATTCCTGAGTGTAGAGCCAGGAGTAACCCCTGAGCACTGGCTGGGTGTGACCCAAAAATAAAAAAATAAAATAAAATAAAGAAGGGGGAAATTGAAAGTGCTTATAAAAAATACGGTAAAAGAGTTTAATCTTCTCTATATAATTATTCCCATTTAAGAGGTAAAAAAATACAGTGTGTGCCTTGCTTTTGTTTTGGAGCCATACCCAGCAGACTGGGTCTACTCTTGTCCTACTGCTACTGAGACTAGTCCTCGGTTTCCTGCCCGAAAAGCAGGTGCTCAGTGATTTGGGCTCTATCTCTGGCCCTAACTCTGTCTTTTGACTGAAATTTTAGTTTTAGGCTCTGATTTAAGAACCTAATCTTAATGAAACAGGCAACTCCTTAGACAATGGAAAATACCATAAATATTTCAATATGTAAAGTAAAAATTTGTTACATCATTGTTGGATTTAATAAAGAAAAAATAACATACTGCTTCTCTCCTCCTCCGCTCTTGTTCTTTCTCCCTTGCTAAGTTACGGTCTTTCAGAAGCCAGACTTTGCCTTTATCTTGAGCTTCCAATGACTGCTGATGTTCTTCTCCAAGGCAATTGTTTTGTACTTTATTTGAAAGAGGTTCCAGAGTGAATCCAGTTTCCCTTAAAGAAATAATACAGTTCAAGTTAGACTTTCATTTCATTTAAAGTCTGTATTTAAAATATTTTATTATATGACAAATACAAAGCTAAACTGCAGATATTCCCTTTCATTTGTTATGTTGACTTTTTTGGTTGTTGTTGCAGAGATTAAACCTAGGGCCTCTGAGGGCATGAGTTCTATTACTGAGCCACAAATATTCTGAGTGGCTCTAAAATACAGATGTTAGTATGTTAAATAGCCCAATTAATCATTTATTTTATCTTCCTCAAAGTATATATACTCTCTGTGGGAGAAGGCAGCTGGGACAGAGAAGGGATCACTGAGTCAACGATTGTTGGAGGAATTGCTTGGGATCAGAGATGAGTGCTGAAAGTAGATAAAGGATCAAACATGATGGCCTCTCATTATCTGTACTGCAAAGCATAATGCCCGTACGTAGAGAGAATGTAAGAGGGAATCTGCCATAGAGGCAGGGGAAAGGGTTGGAACGGGCTGGGGGGGAGACTGCTAGTGATACTGGGACATTGGTAGTGGAAAACGTGTACTGGTGGAGGAGGGGTGTTCAATCATTGTATGACTGAAACACAAACATGAAAGTTTTGTAAGTATAGCTCATGCTGATTTAATTAAAAAAAAGACGTAGCCATATCTGAGAGTGTTCTAGGAAGACATAAATTTTCAGCTCTATTCTATTCGGATTTCAGTGACAAAATTGAATTTAGTACCAAACTCTTTGTTAAAATAAGTAACTGTAAACAGGAACACTATTGTAACTGAATCATCTAAGCTATAATCATTTTTAAGTTTAAAATTAGAATTAAAAATATAACAATCAAAAAAAATATAACAATCAAAAAAAATATAACAATCTCAATCAGAGATTGTTGTTTCTAAAAGTAAACGTTCATGTTTATTCTTGAAAAGCAATAGTTGAGCAAATAAAGAAAAAGCTAGATGGAGCTTCCTCTTCAAAAAAAAGAAAAGTATATGCTCTCATAAAAATATTCTTTTTTAAAAAAATTTTTTTATTAGTGAAACACCATGAGGTACAGTTATAGACTTATAAATTTTTGTGCTTGGGTTTCAGTTATACAATGATCAAGTACCCATCCCTCCACCAGTGCCCATACTCCACCACCACGGTTCCCAGCATCCCTCCCACCCCCCATACCCCCCATCCCACCCTGCCTTTGTGGCAGGGCATTCCCCCTTGTTCTCTCTCTCTTCTTTTGGGTACTGTGCTTTGCAAGAGAGGCATTGAGTGGCAATCATGTTCAGTCTATAGTCTACTTTCAGCATGCTTCTCCCACCCTGGGAGGATCCTCACAACACCCTTTATTTGGTGCTCTCTTCTCTATCTGAGCTTCCTTCATAAAATATTCTTTTAGAATTACAATTTGCTATATCCTATTACATAGCTGAAGCTTTACAGAACAATTTAATATAATTAAAATAATATAAATATTATTATTAATAATAATTATTAAAATACATGTCTTGGGGACAGATAATATAGCAAAATAGGGCATCTGTCTTGCATGTAGATGATCTGGGTTTGATTTCCAGCACCCCACACGGTCCCCTGATACATTAGTGATTCATGAGTGCAGAACATGTGTAAATCCTGAGCACTGTAAGGTATGGCCTCAAAACCAAAATCAAAAAGCCAAAAAAAAAAAAAAAGAAAGAAAAGAAAGGTAAAGAAAATGTCTTATTTTAAATATACTTAAATGCATTTAAATATATTTAAATAAATAAAACTTTACAAAACAATTTAATATATTAAAATGCATGTCTTGCCAGAGCAATAGTATAGTGAGTAGAGCATTTGCCTTGCATGCAGTCAACCTCAGTTCAATCCCCCAGCATCTCATATGCTCCCTTGAGCCCACCAGGAGTGATTTCTAAGTGCAGAGTCAGATAGAAGCCCTGAGCATTACTGGAACGTGGCCCAAACACAAAAACAAAAATTAAATTAAAATGCATATTTTATTTACAATAAAGGCTTTGGGATATGTATAACATATTACACACCTCTGATTTTCTTGAATTACTTTTGGTTCCTTTACATTCTGTTCCAGATGTTTCCGTATTAGTTCCTGTGTTCGAGCTTTTACTTCCTTTTCTATTGCTGCTTTTCTAAATTGGTTGAAGAGCTCATCAGAGGATTTTAGCACTCCTGAAGCTTTTATTGGCTTGCCTAAACTTTTCCAGGAGTCTGCGTTCTTGATCTTTATATCCTAAAGAAAAAGTTCACCACATTGAGAGGAAAACCAAAAATTTTCAAGTTATGTATCAAATTAATATTCTAAAGTATTTTGCATAATTTTGTAATATTTGAATGCTACGGCTGGAGCGAGATAGCACAGCGGTAGGGAGTTTGCCTTGCATGTGGCTGACCTGAATGACCCAGGTTCAATTCCTCTGCCCCTGTTGGAGAGCCTGGCAAGCTACCGAGAGTATCTCACCCACATGGCAAAGCCTGGCAAGCTCCCCGTGACGTATTTGATATGCCAAACACAGTAACAACAAGTCTCGTAATGGAGATGTTTCTGGGTCCGCTCGAGCAAATCAACGAACAATGGGAGGACAGTGACAGTGACAGTGAGTGCTTGTCAAAAAAACATATGAAACTATAACAACAGATTTACATAAGCTCAATTATTAATCCAAAACCAAGGTTAAGGAACATTTGTTATTAGAGGCCAATATCTGTCATGAATAGTTCAAAAGCTTCAAAAATATTATCAAATATTATTTAATAACTTTAAAAACATTTAAGTTATTAACAATAAGAGAATTATATACCATGATCAAATAAATGACACAAAGTCATGATCCACTATCCAAAGATCAGTCTGATCAGACACATCAGACACATTAATGGAAGGATGAAAATCCTAAGAGTAGGAAGCTGGAGAGATCTTCAAAGAGCACATGATTCAAAGGCAAAAGCCCTGGGCTCTATCACTGGTACCATGTGGTCCCCACCAAGTATTGGCACCAAGTGAGCACCAAGCAAGAAGTAGCCCTGTAAATACTGCTAGACCCAAAAGAAGCAAATCATGATCATCTCTGTGAGTTTTTAAGAGAAAACGGCCACCTCCTCAGCCACTCCATAGCAACGGACGGAGGAGGGACCATGGGATCCAAGAAACAGGACCCTAGGCTGGTCGGTAGTCAGTTTATTTCTCTCTTCTCCCCAGAGTAGTATGATCTCTTCCCTTACAGCACAATCATAGCTGTAGTTTTTGTCGTAGTCCTAGTCATCATAGTTCCATCATCCTAGTCTCCTTATAGACCTCAAACTCCTCCCGCCTGTTCCCCTGTATTACTATGCCATAGCATAGTAATACAGAAATCATGAAGGGTGGGGGTACACATAGGTGAGGTTGAAATGTGCCATAACATAAACAGAGGTAAAGCCACTTTTCAGGAAAGGTTCTAGGAGATTAACTCAAGGACAAAATCTCATCTGAGGGTTCAGCACTGCAGATTACTAGGAGATCTGTTTGGGGTGAAATTCTATCTAGGGTGTATTGCTTTATCCTTTTCTCAGCTAGTAATCCATTTAAACAATCATAGTGAATTTACTTACAATATTTCTAGTTATTTTGTATGAACACAGTAATAGCTATATTAAACTTAAAGGTTTGCTCTTCCTGGGGACATCTCAGTATATATTTCAGATCATAGTCCTCAGGCCAGGTTAGTCTTCCTAACCCCAGCAGGGTCCTTATTCAGTTACTTCTTTTGGGGTCATGACAGAGTCTGCTCCATGACAGTGTTCTTAACTTATTATATTTATGATGCTTAGCTTGTCCCCTTTTGATGCCAGGGTAGCTTACAGTTTGCCCTGAATCCATCCAGTCCCTTTGTCGGGACCCTCATTTTGGGGGTGTTAGGAAGTAAAGACAACTGTGGTTTAAGTCAGGTAAATATGATGGATGCCCAGGAGTTAATATTATTTCAAAGTCAATTAATGCCATATTACAAAAGAACAGCATCAACTGTCTTCCTGTGTCTATACAAAATGGACATTGCTAAATAAGCCATGCAAATGACATAAGGAAAGAGAAAAGCAATATAGGATTACTAGTGCTTGATGGAGCGATAGCACAGCGGTAGGGTGTTTGCCTTGCACGCAGCCAACATGGCCGACCCGAGTTCGATTCCTCCGCCCCTCTCAAGCTACCGAGAGTATCTCGCCCGCACGGCAGAGCCTGGCAAGCTCCCTGTGACGTATTTGATATGCCAAACACAGTAACAACAAAGTCTCCAATGGAGATGTTACTGGGCCCGCTCAAGCAAATCGATGATCAACGGGACGGCCTTTACTTTTTTTTTTTACTTTAGAGCTTGATGGAATTGGGTGTGCCTCAAGGGCACTGTTGTGGGAGTAACTCAATAAACCTAAGCTCTCTGAGGGAGGAGCAAGGAAAATCCAATGTTATCCAACAGTCTCAAAACTGCAAAAATAGTATTAGACAAATTCAACACCTTATTTATAGAAAAAACTCTCAACAAAGTGGGTAAAGATCTTTGAGTTAATTAAGGCCATTATGACAAGCTAACAACATCATACGTAACGTTGAAAGCTTTTAGCTCCAATAAAAATGGCCATTTTCACCACTTCTATTTATATTTAGCACAGTATTGGAACTCCTAACCAGAACAATCAGGGAATAAAGGAAAAAAATGAAATAAAGGTACTCAGGGGGATTAAGGCATTTGTCTTGCATGTAGCCAATCAGGATGCAATCCCAAGCACGATATATGGTTTTCTCTGACCACCTCTAGTTATGACACAATAAACCCAAACCCCTGTGGGTTCTGGGGCCAGAGCAATAGTACAGAGGTAAGGCACTTGCCTTACATATGACTGACCTGAGTTCTCTCCCTGGCACTCCATATGATCTCTCTACGCCCACTCTCCCTGAGTACACAGTCAGAAGAACTGAGCATTGTCAGTATGCCCCTCCCCCACCCCCCAAAAAAAACACCAATAAAACAAAAACAAACAAACAAAAACCCTTGGGATTCTGAGTATAAAGAGAAGAGGCTACAGAGTACATTAAAACACTACTTAATCTAGTTCTTTTGGGAAACATGATTCAACAGTCTGAGCTTCAGTTTATTCATAAAGATTAATTCACTAGATGTCTGCTAGCATAAAGTTCTGTAACCTGTATTTTTCCCCCAACATTTTAATTCCTATGCCATGTAAGGCAGTGGGAATAAACAGACAGCACAACTTTAGTTATGATACAAAAAACTTGACTTTTTTTTTGCTTAATTTTTCTGCAATCTCCATCCTTTTGGAAAATTTCTTACTATTTATAAATATTTTACATCAGTCAAAATCACAAACGGGGCTGGAGCAATAGCGCAGCAGGTAGGGCATTTGCCTTGCACGTGGTCGACCCGGGTTCAATTCCCAGCATCCCATATGGTCCACTGAGCACTGCCAGCAGTAATTCCTGAGTGCGGAGCTGGGAGTAACCCCTGTGCATTGTCAGGTGTGACCCAAAAAGAAAAAAAATCACAAACAGAAACAAAGATTACAATGTATGATATAATATTAGTAAACCAAATTAGGGAGGCTTAGGGCCACACCCAGTGATGCTCAGGAACTCTTCCTGGCTCTGTGCTCAGGGAACCATAAATGATATTGGGGCTCAAACCTTGGCCAAAGCATTGCATGCAAGGTACATGCCTTATCTTCTATATGTCACTAAACCAAATATTTAACAAATTCTGTAGCACTGTTATTTCTAACCTAAAGGGGGGTGAATTCTACTTTAAGTATAACAAAAATCAACAAAATATTGTTTAATGTCAGAAAAAGAACTTCTAAAAATAGTTCTTATCAATAAAAAACACCCAACTTAAACACAGTTAATCTTGATTACAACAGTTATTGGACATATAAGAAAATCAGATACTAAGATGACACAAGGATCAAACAGTATAGTTATCATGGAAAATATTAGAGTCCTATGGAATAATAAGATTTCCTCTTCCTTATGTAGTAGAAAAAAATAAACAACAAAAAAAGTGTATAGGAAAAGGGAGCTAAAAGTAGGAATATGTAAATAACACTTTAATAGGACATTCTAAGAATTAGATTCAAATGCCTAGAATAGTGCCTGGTCTTTCTCACATATCACAAACACTAGAATATGTGTTGAAATAATGATCACATATCAATGTATGATATGAGATGAAGTTCACGAAATTTTAATTAAGATAATCCCCCTCCCCCAAAGTTCTGCCATAGCCCAGGGGTTAAGAAGCACATGACCCTATAAGCACAAGAATTGCTCCTTGTGGTCCAGAACACTATATTCTCAGACCCTCACAGTGAACCATCAATCATGGAAATCAGCCTCCTGGTTGGCCAAGTATCACCAGGAGTGACCCCATGGCTCTTTAAATGCTTTCAAATATTTTTGTTCATGAGGTACAGCAAGAAATTTCCGTAAGAGATTTTATAAAGACTTTTTATAAAGACAGTCTTATGACAAAATTTAAAACCAGGATAGCTAGCAAATGTCAGCAATAGAGAACTACTACTGATCACAAGCATGGGAAATAAAGGCAGGCAACTTTAAATACTCACAGGTAACTTTAAATAAATAAATAAATAAGAGTGGAGAGCTGGAGAGCTCAACATGTGTAGAGCTTGCTTTGTAAATAGGAAGCCTGAGTTTGATCCCTGGCATTGTGTGTTCCCCTTAGAACCCCGAGCACTGAGTCATGAGTAGGTCCCAAGTACCACTGGAGAGAAATAAAAACTAAACAACAAAAACAAACTGGTAAAAATTAGGGTTAGAGATTCATTTTCAAGATACTGCTTAAATGCTCTTTTACCATTTTCATATTCAATTTTAATGAAATCCCTTCAAGATTTGTAAAAAAAAAAACAATTTTACTCTTACCTTCTGTACAGGAACTTGACATTCAGATTCTAGCACGATTGGTGTATTATCATTGGACTGATGCACCACAGTCTGATCATTCAACTGTTGTTCAGAATCACCTAGATGCACACATTTTAACAACAGTATAATTTTCTTTTTGTTTAGAATTTGATATTTTTCACCTGTATTAGAAACTATGAAACTTTTCTAAATGACTAATGTCTTATTTTTTTAAGTTTTGCTGCTGAATCACAATGAGATAGACCATCACAAAGATATTCATAATTGATTTCAGTCATACAATATTCCAACATCCATCCCTCCACCAGTGTACATTTCCCAGCACCAGTGAAATGACTAATATCTTAATGCTTCATAACTCTGGATTATTCTTGAGGAACTGTTATACAATGAAATAACATTTTTTATTTGAAATCAATGTTTTGAGTTTTTTCCCAGCAGCGTAACACATAGCTCGTACTGTGGCTCATAGAGTAAAGCCTACTTGCTCTGTGCTCACGAAATAGCAGGTTTCCAGTGTGTAAACAGACCTCAGCCCCAGATTCAGGCCTTGACTGGGCTGGGTCAATCATGGAAATCAGCCTCCAGGCCCAGTGAGTCCTTTGGGAGAGAGAAGGTCTAATCTTTTGAGGAAAGATTCTGCTTGATGGTCAGATTCAAAACAAGACAGGGAAAGAACAAAGACACCAGATCGAAAATAGATCTAAAATAGTGTGAAAATGCAAGTAAAAATTCCAAAGTGTTATTTGTTTCTGAGGTAAAGAAAACTATGATATCATGTTAATTGTTAATCATATTAATTGTTAAGTTCTCATGTAAATATTTCACTTATTTTGAGTAAAGATAACTATAGACAGAGCTTGAGCATTGTCAAATCATACCTAAATAACTGACCTCCCTTTGGATACTGATTTTGTGTGCTAACAAAGTTGCATATTACTTAAGCTATTTAAGTTTCAGTCATTTATGACCAAGAACATCTTGAGGCAGAAACAGGGTCATTTTCTGCTTCAATTATCTAGATCTTATCTAAAAGTGCTAATCAATGAAATAAACCCAGAGGAGAAAAAAGAAAACCAAATGACTATCAGATTTAAAATTAACCTTTCCATCAATTTACCACTGGTTTTCAATAGTACATATTTCACACTTCTATATCTATATTAGCTTTATTATTCTCAATAACTGACTGATTTGGGGAGTATGTGTCCCTCTGTTCCCCATATTTTTGGCTTTTGGGCAACATCTGCAAGTGTTCAGGGCTTACTTTTGGCTCTGTGCTCAAGGAGCACTCATGGTAGGGCTTGAGAGACCATCTGAGGTGCTGGGGCTTGAACCTGGATCAGTCAAATGCAAGGCAAGCACTTTACCCATTGCAATATCACTCTGGCCCTATTTCTCCCTTATTTTTATTGCAGTAGTATGATTTAAGATGCACACACACACACACACACACACACACACACACACACATTTAGTGGGAACTGACTTTTATGCTTTTATTACCGATAATCCCATTAATTAGTTCTTTGGGTAAAGCATATTATTTAATAAATATTAATATTAACAAGTTTAATAAATATTTATTAAATAATTATTTATTTAATAAATAGAATATGAATGTCCTTGGAGGTACCGGCAGAGGAACAAAGGCATGCAGGTCCCGGGGCTGAGATCTCCAAGCCTACTCGGATCGGGGCTGAGCATCCTCCACCCAGATCCTCCAAATTCCAGAAGGCGGGGGTCACACCCACCAACTGGCCCCCTGGCGCCGTGTAATCCCATCAACGTCCAAGACTCAGAGACTATAAAAACAAGCTCCCGGAACATATTATGACATCTTATTATCTCATTCCTACTTTGGACAAACTGGCAGGCTACCGAATGTAACCTGCCCACACGGCAGAGTGTGGCAAACTCCCCATGGCATACCCAATATGCCAAATACCAGTAACAATGATGGGTCTCATTCTCCTAAAGAGCCTTGAATATAGCACTTTCATAAAAATCTCAGGGCTAGGATGAAGGAGACATTACTGGGGCCTGCTTGAGGCAATCGACAAATATGAATGTCAAGAGAAGTAAATTCTTTTTTTCTTCATTGAGACGTTTTATCTTTACATATATATATTAGAAAAAGAATCCTAGGATTTTTCCTCTCATGTTTTCATCTTGCTTATTCCTGATCCATGATGCAAACTAGTTGATTTTGTCAATACAATGAAACCAAACTAACAAGACAGAAGATTTATGCTGCCATTTTTCTAGATATTTGAGTTGCACATCAAATCTGAGGCTGGCTACTTCTCCTGGTTTAATCTGGATATGTAGGTTACAACAATTTCCCCAGCATGTGGCCAATTATGATTTCAAATTTGTCATTATAACCATGCTTTCTCATCACTGTCCGACATTGGACAATAACTTTGGAGCATGGCCTAATTATAAGCCCTGCCATATGCTTCTCGTTTCTGCGTTGTTAAAGCTCTTGAGCACATCGGCCAGGAAATTAGTATGTGTGCCCTTATAGCAGCATCGAGAGATAGCAGAAAGGAGAATCAAATTTCTATAAAACCCCCAGTGATTGATAATAGTCCCATTATTCAGAAGTGAAGGCTGAGAGTGGGAGATACAGCTCCAAGATAGTTCCAGGTGTGATACATTAGAAGAAATTCTCAAGCACAGAGGAGTATCCCCCAGCACTTCCAGGTGTGATCCAAGACCCAAACCTCTGAAAATACATAGAAAAAAATTTAAGAGTGGGAACTGAAAATGAAACTCAAGGCCCTGTATATATAGCTTAATGGTAGAATATATCCTTTTTATTCATAAGGCCCTGGGTATGAACTCTGGCACTATGGGGAAAAGGACAAAAATTTTATCTTGATATTTTGACATGCCTATGTGATGTCTAGGAAAATGTTCAGTAAAGTTGTATTAACATAGTTTGTGCCTGGGTGCCTGAGTTGTAAAAATTAGATCTGAAGTGACAAATATCAAAGACATAACCCAGAAAGAACAGATCAATGACCCACTCTCTTCCCTTCCTTCAATGTAGACCCCTCTGGGGAGGTCAGGATGGATTAAGCATAGGGGATTATGCTCAAGACTTCCTCTTTGAACAAATCTCGAAACCCAGCAGCTTTTGGCAGAAATGCATCTGGACCACACGGTAGGTTACTGTCGCCGGGCCACTCCAGCGGGGAAAGGGTTCTGTCCCTCCCCCTGCTCCCCCTTGGCGGCCTGGTGGCCACCATCTTCCAGAGGCCATTGGACAGTCACCATTGGGTTTGGGCCCACAGTGTCAAGACACGCGGGGCCCTACAGGATGGGGGTGGAACCAGCCCTTTCCTAAACGTATCAACGAGACCCTGAGTAGCCGCCCACAAATGGCCTCTCTGGCTCCTGATCAAGCTGCTTAATGGCCATGATCCCAGAGACTCAGAAACAAATCTCGAAACCCAGCGGTTTTTGGCAGAAAAATGTGCGGACCACACAGTAGGTTACTGTTGCTGGGCCACCTCAGAGGGAAAGGGTGCTGTCCCTCCGCCTGCTCCCCCTAGGCGGCTCGGTGGCCGGCATCTTCCACAGGCCTTTAGAAAGTTAGCTTTGGGCCCGCAGTGACGAGACATGCGGGGCCTCACAGGATGGAGGTGGAGCCAGCCCTTTCCTTCCTGTCACAATGAGACCCCGAGTCACCACTCATGAATGGCCTCTCTGGCTCCTGATCAAGCTACTTAATAGCCACAATCCCAGAGACTCAGGAACAAATCTCGGAACCCAGCAGGTTTTGGCAAGAAATCCCTCCGAATTTAATTGTTAAAATTTCAGAATTTCAAAATCACACGGCCACTACTGCAGCCATGCGACATCGTATGTTATTTATAAACAGCAATAGAAAACAAATTGTCTACTGTTGCCTTTTCAGCAGATCTGAGTGTTGGGGTAAAAACCCAAATAATAATGGCAGGTGTGGTGTCTAAATGTTGAGTGTAATCAAAGTAGAGAGAGAGTAATTTGGAAATCATTTGCCCCTCAGGTAGGGGGAGGGTGTTGGATGGGGGTATACTGGGGATTTTGGTCGTGGATAATGGGCACCAAGACTTAAACCCGAAAGCTTTGTAACTGCTCTCAGAGTGATTCAATAAATAAAATTATAAAAAATGGGGGAAAAAACCCACAGAATAGGTGGAGGTACAGAGAGTCACAGCTTCGTCATGTGCTTGCTTGACTACACATATTTAGAGAGTTTGTTTTATTTGAGGGATTTGGGGCCATCCCCAGCAGTCAGGCTCTGTTCAGGGGTGACCCCTGGTGGTGCTCAGGGGACCATGTGTGCTGGGGATCAAACTGGGCTTGGCTGCATACAAGATGAGCACCTTCCTCTCTGCCCATCTCCCTGCCTTTACTATCTAGCCCCTAGAGAACTTATTTTTATATAGATGTTTCATAAACATGTTTCAGTGGTTCAAAATGGGATGGAATAGACTCCGGAGTCTCTGCTTTTTCCACAAATCACTCCCATTTTAGTATGAGAAGAGGAGGCATGGGCCAGTTCTGGGGTTCTGGATACGGGTTGTTGCTCTGAGTTTGAAAGATCCCTTTTCTCCAGGACTGAATCTCTGGGCTGCATGGTAATAGAGGACCTGGGCTGTCCTGCCTGGGTCCCTGCCTGCCCAGCAGACTGGCTGTCATGCACAATTTGCCTCTGGGCTCCATCTTAGCACACCAACAACCCTATCCCAGAGACTGCCAACTGAATCCCAAAATGGATTTATGTCACACAGAGATGTCTCTGGAACCCAATCATTTGCAATCTAGAAATTTACATTTACAATCATGGCTCTGCAAGCTCTCATGATACTCAAAACGAGCAATGGAAAATAAATTATCTAGTGTCTGCCACTGGCAGGTAGGCTTGAATGGTGGTGGGAAAATTCGAGCAAAACATAATGCCCGAACTAGAGTATTGGGGAAATTGTCTGCCATAGAGGCAGGGTGAAGACTGGGATGTGGGTGGTGGAAAATGTGCACTGGTGGAGGGACAGGTGTTCCATCATTGTATGACTGAATCTCAAACATAAAAGCTTTGCAACTG